CAAAAGACTCGAAACAACGTCTTTGTTTCACCCGTTGGGCCTTGGATTTCACCCACTTCCAGTAGTGTTTTTTGTGTTCCATGTTGGTCTTCACGTGGGCAGTCGAGTCAAAACCAATGGGTTGCCATGCCATGGCATTTCCAATGTTAAAACTCTATGAAGACTGGAGAGTTGAACTTCGTACTGTGAGTTTGTGAGGCGTGTTTTTTCGTGGTGCCAGGTAGAGGAAAGTATTTGTGGAAAAGAACCGTCCTGACATGGACAATTTGTGAGGAGTGTTACAAGCTGTGTTATTTGAATTGCCGCAAGGACTCACGACTGTCCAGGAGCAGTTTCAACAAAATACAGATATTGCTTCAACAAGTTGGGGACATGGATGGACATGGTAAATAAGTTTAAACAACAAAAAACACATTGAGACAAAAAACGGGATTCAATCATTCAATCCACCAAGCAAGCAATCCTGCGGCTGCCGTCCGGCTTCGTCCAAGGCTCTGCTGGACGAAGCGCATGACCTCCGGGACGCTCCAGCGCTCAAGCTGCTTCCGACCCTCCAGGGAGATCGCCTGCGACCGCCCTTCGCTGGCGTTTTCGTCGGGATGGTTTTTTTCTAAGAGAGACTCATGAGTGATGAATGCTCAAAATGAGGCGAGGTCTTTCGAGAGGTATGGCCTAAGAGATGCCAATATGCGAACAGTTTTTACATGTTTTTACACAGATCAGGGTTAGATGTGGTGGGTTCGCATGTTCCATCATGTTCCACTGGATGGATGTGATCGTCGTTGGAACCCTTTCTCACTGAAGGGTCCCGGAAGACTTTCCAAGTCATTCAAATCCTCAGGTCCCTTCCTCCTTTCCGTTTTTTCTCAAAAGCCACCTTGCCATCCAAATAAAGCACCAGGCTAGGCGCCGTGACTGAGACCTGCCGCTCCAGAGTCACGTGGCTCGTTTTGGGAGAGAGCTTGATGGCTGCAAAAAGGGGCACATCATATGAACCCAAATCGACGCACATTATATGTGTTTGGAATATGTTGGAACGTCGCCTCACACATCGGGTTTTTGAGGCCCCTTCAGGACAGTGGAAGGTCTCAAAATTCCTAGAGCAATCCAAGCTGGACTCTGGAAGAACCAAATTGAATATTCATTGTCATAATACCCCACAAGGCAGTCACCGGGATAGTTTTTGATCCGGAGTGGATCTCTGCCCCCGGCCACAAGCAGGCCTTGCCATGTATCGTACAACCCGTGGACTGGGCACCTTCATTCACTGAATAAAACAGAGAAAAGCGGGTGCGGTGAAAAAAACGAGTTCGGTCTCCACACTTGCCGATCTTGACGGCTTGATTTCAAGATTGGACGGATCCTGCATCTGTTGAACATCTTTACATCTTTGTGACCCAAATTTGACGAGCCTACCAGGTTGGAGAGTCTGAACCCTCTGCAGATGTGAGGAACAGTCCCGCCGAGACCTTGTGCGGGTCTGTGTGTCCATGCATGGCCGCGTTGTCGGCCTCTTATCACCGGCCATGTCCGGGCCAAACAAACATTACAGTAACGCAAAAACACCATCTGCTGAAACTGTTTGGGGTCTGGTCTATGCTGGTATAATTTCCCAAGCCCCGCACTGAAGCTGCCCGCCGTTCTGTGGCCTGCTTCAGGATGTTGGGGGCGATCACATAGCCCACCCCAGCGCCTTGAGGGGATGATCTGTTCCATCAGGAACCCTTGTGAAATGTGGTGTGAAATGGTCAATTCTTTTGGGATATCGATGTCCGGCAGATCTGTCGCTGTTTCGTTTATCACGTCGACCACGTGGGCTGCACCCCCACCGTGTTCATCCCACGGGATCCGAACGTTCCATCGTCAAGCATCGTCTCGCAGGGAACGAGAACCGAATGACAAAGATCGACAGCGACCGCGGCTCTCCGAACACGTGTCTTTTCTCCTGCACGTCCGCCGCGATCGCCCAAGACGTAAGGCGGCCTATGTCATCCTTGTCGACGTCGTCCCCTTGAAAAAGCTTCCAAATGGCTTCCAGGTACCTCACCGCTGAAGCGCAGAGACGAGGTGAGGTCAGCGTGAGGCCGTCATCTCTTGTCCCCTCCGTGGAGACGGAAAGCCGAGGACTGCAGATCGGTGAGTAGGACTTCTGTGAATCGCATTGCACTGCTTGCTTGGGGCTACCAAATGTGCATGCGAATTCAACGGTGATTCCCCAAACCCAGCAGGATTCCAACTGGCAGAGATGGTCCTATCACCAACCCTCGTCGAAGCCTAGAGGCCTAGAGCTTAGGTGACACCCAATGGTGGCTACACTCCCACATGGAAGTGGAACGAAGTGGAACATAGTGGAACACGGCCACTGAAAAGACCATTTTCCGAAGACCAAACAAGTGGTTTTCCATGTGAGCCCGTCTCTTTACTGACCACGTCATATTATACTGCGTTTCAGCCACGTCACACTTTATGCTCTCGGTCTCCCTCCTTTTTGAAGTAACCGATGATGGCAACCTCGCAGCATCAATGAGACAGAGAAAAAAAACACCTCTCAAACTTGTTTCACCAGAACCATCCCAGCACTCTCAAATTCTCGGGCGCTAACATAGAACCTTGGTGCCCCTCCTCTCATACAGTCAACAAACGCAAAAACTCCACGGCAACACCGGCCTCTCACAGGAAATCACAAAACAACTTGGCAAAAACCACTCCAAATGCCACCAAGGATTTGATCTGGTTCCTGCCTCATGTGTATGGAAAAATCGAAGGGTCGTGTGAGTGTGTCATCGTGTGAGGCCACTGTACTAGGAAATGTTCACTTATCTTGTGATCGTGGTCCATCCAGACTCAGAGCCTACCCCTGGGCCTTACCAGGAACGAGTCGACTCCGTTTTTGCACACTCCGGGCTGCTTTACCACATGCGAGGTCAAAACAGGTTTCTTGTGAGTGGATAGGCTCCCCATTGCTTTGGCATCCTTTTTTGAAAACGAAAACGCGGCACCAAGGTTCAAGTTTTTATTGACTTGGTGATACTTTGTGGAAATTCTCTGAGAACGCCTGGTTGTTCTTCAAAAACTTCTTGTACTTCTTGACGCTGGGTAAGAGTGTGGCGTAGTGCAAATTGGATCCTCCACAGGGTGGCCGCCGGCGAACGACACATTAAACAAAAACTTGTGTGTGTGTGTGTCACACCCTGGTTCTAAGGGTTTTCCACGTTCTCACCTTTCCACTGTAACAAAGGCAGGGCGGCAATGATCCTTTCAGCAGTCACTGCCTAACAAAGACACTGCTGATCGGATGTGATATGACTCCGGGACGCTGGAGTCACGTACCTGCCAAATGAACTTTTGAAAAAGCTGTCCACTTTGATCGGTTTGTTTCCATGGTCCTTCATGTTTCCTCCCCCAAACCTCGCGGAGTTTCTTGCAGCCTAGTTTTGCAGCCGACTCGCAGCGCGCCGCTCGTTTCTGCAGACTTGAGAAACACTTTATGTTGAAACACCTACAAATTACCGGACTTTTCGCCATGCTGTTCCACCGCCTTCCTTCCCAACGTGGCAATTGAGTCTAACTGAAAACCAAGTTCGAAGTGTGGACCGCTCAGTCTTCCCACTCGGGTACTGGGTGTGACCCTCCGAAAGGAGGCGCTGAAATCATACCGGAAATCACCGACCTTCATTTTTATAACTGCCTTTCCGTTTCTTCAATTTTATCACTGAATTAACTGATTTTTCGAGCCGCCGGGCTATAAGCGACGGAATGTCTACCCAAAGTTCTGAAATCCATTCGTGTTGTGCATTGCTACATTCCTCAATTTTTAATTTTTCCAACCGCAGCCGTTTAGCCAACGATCAACTTACGCATGCTCAGCACTGCAGATCCCAGAGATTGCATTGCATGCCGAGATTTCACCTTACTCAACTTCACTACACATGCACTCAGGCTCCAGAATGCCACCCCTGCGGCTGAAGCCCTGGTCCACCTGTATGCCCAAAAAGGGCACGACCTGCACGCGTGCAGGCGGTTTTTGAGAAAAAAGGTCCGTGTTCTTCACCGCTTGGACTGTGCGCCGATAACGGCGTTTTGTGTGTGTCACACCCTGGTTCTAAGGGTTTTCCACGTTCTCACCTTTCCACTGTAACAAAGGCAGGGGGGCAGTGATCCTTTCAGCAGTCACTGCCTAACAAAGACACTGCTGATCGGATGTGATATGACTCCGGGACGCTGGAGTCACATACCTGCCAAATGAACTTTTGAAAAAGCTGTCCACTTTGATCGTTTTGTTTCCATGGTCCTTCATGTTTCCTCCCCCAAACCTCGCGGAGTTTCTTGCAGCCTAGTTTTGCAGCCGACTCGCAGCGCGCCGCTCGTTTCTGCAGACTTGAGAAACACTTTATGTTGAAACACCTACAAATTACCGGACTTTTTGCCATGCTGTTCCACCGCCTTCCTTCCCAACGTGGCAATTGAGTCTAACTGAAAACCAAGTTCGAAGTGTGTGTGTCACTTCCTGTTCCAAAGGAAACGACCGCAGCATGATAGTTCAGCAGGGGGGCACGGCGGCCGTTCACCTAGCCGTGCTAACAAAGCTATGGGTGTTCGGTTGGATGAGATACTGGACGCAGTATCTTGTACCTGCTAAAATTTTAATCCTCTTCGAGTCAAGTGCTAGTGACTAGTGCGATTTGTGGAAACAATTCTTTTCGACCGACCCAGCAACTCTTGCCGTTCCCTCAAGTCAAGCGCTCGGTATTCATCTAAAGCCCGGGCTAATGCACTGGAGTTCAAAACTGATACAGCTCTTGCGAGCCATGATCTATACAAGTGTGCAAGCATTGCAATCCAAGTTAGTTTATGAGGATAGTTAAGGCTTATATAAGGCCTGAAGCTATGTATGCAGCTAGTGAAATAATGTTCAAGGTCCTAAAAGACTACGCAGCACTGCCCAGTGACTTCAAAATATATTTGGTTATTTGGCATATACAGTATGTGAACCACCCAACTTAGCATGGATGGCTTCGAATTGGGCTCAAACTTGCATTATCCTGAGTGTTGTGAAAGACGACTCCAGAGATGTTTAGAAAGCAGGGGCTGTTAAAGCGACCCAACAAAGGTGTCTTATTAATTTTGGATGAGTGAATAACACCTCCACCGGTGTTAAGCTCTTGCTGTCCTTCAGCATCTTCACCCATGTACTTTGTGAGCATCCACTTCTGCCCATCCGGGTTTCCTGCATCAGGATTGCTGAATATCAGGTTTTTCTGCCCGCCCCTGGACGAACACCACAAACACACGGGGAAACACCACACCAACCTGGTCGCTTCTCACCAATAGGAAACAGTGACCCCCAAAATTGGTGAACATTTATCATTTCAAAATTCGAAACACCGATCCGGGTCGTCCTGACAACGGGTCGTTGTCTCAGCACCAGCACCAAATTAATCTACACTGCTACCTGTATATTCTTGAGCAGTCTTCTTGGAAAAGTGCGCAATCCACTGGAGCAATGTGAGCAATGCAATTTTGCCTAATAGAATATGCTAGGAATTTTCTGTGTCCAAACAGCTCATCCCAACGGCTCATCCAAACAACTTCCATCGCCCTCCCTCCACTTCCCGGCTCTCCACCTTGATACTTGTCTCGGATCACCTCAAAGTCCTGGAGGGCTCACCATTCAACATGGGCGAAGCCGACCACGTTTGGTGGGCTCAGAGAGGGGCTCGGGGGGGTTATTATACATTGTAAAGTGATCATTAAGTTCATTTAAGTCCTCTATGTAAGGCCGGGTGCATTTGCTCAGACTTTCACCCCCAGGTGATTCGCGTAACCAAAACCCACAGCGCTTGCCGAGGCACCCAGGGAAATTGGTTGCCTTCTTCCAGGGACTTTTATAGGTAGGATAGGGTAGGCACATAGTTATGGCTCGTGTTAGATTCGTTTTTAGGCCACGGGTGGCGGCGGGTCGTCGACCTCACCGCGACGGTGGCTCCTTAGGCTTCACCTCCACAGGCCGCCCGAACTTGTACATCACATTCCTCGGTGAGTCACGCAAGTTGACTGGCACGACTGCAGGAGACGCAGGCGGGCGGCATCACGCAGCCATACAGATCTTCTATGTGAGTGTCACACAGAGAATGAAGAACAAATAAGAACAGTAAGTAGTGAAGTAGGATCAGTTGGTCTTCGGGGTGCGCAATTCGACCGACTCCAAAGCTCACCCGTGTGTGGGGAGGCCTTTCTCTATCACCACCGGTCCTCACAGCTCCGGCACGTGGGCAACAGACGAGGCACGTAGGCACCATGTTGGAGTCGACCCACCTCTTCGACATGTCTCGATCCTGGGAATCGATGGAGCGGATTCAGCGACCGGTGTGAGAGGTCCCAGAGATAGATCGAGGATCCGGGTTGGGCCTATGAGCTTGGTGTTCTGGATTTTCACCAGCGATTGGGGTCCCACTGGTGCTTACAAATTGTATGAACCGCAAGAGCGTCGCAGAGGATGATTAGGCCAGCAATGCCCCTTCACACAAAAACCAGGAGCCTTGGGTGTAATTGGACCTGTTGATGGTAAGGTAAGGCATACTTGGTGGTGAGACAAAACCACACTCTGAAGTACCAAACTGCAAGAGCAGTCTGAGCCTCTTAAGACAAAAGCAACCTGCGAGGGAGGGCCCTGGATTTCCCCAAAAGTTCCGTTCAAAGTGATGCTCAGACCTGGCAGAAGTCCATGACGGCGTGAACCGGCGCAGGGGTGATTTGATCCAGGGGCCCCCCCCGCGACAAACCGAATCATCTCTTACAGGACCAAACTCAATGCACAATCCCAACTCCTGATTGTAATACATTTTTGCTAAAGCAAGGAGAACTCAGGTAGCTCAAGCTACCTTTCGTGATTTGTCATCCACTTTTCAAGCAGCCAAACCTTGGCATTGCAGCATACACCCTAGACTTCCAAGACAATTAAGAGAATGGTTCACCTGGATTTGTAGTATAAAATCCTTACTAAAACAATGGTGGTTCGGCGGTTCGGTAAAGCCCATTAATTTTTAAAATGGTGCTTGGAAGATCTTGGAAGCCTGGGGTACACATCATGCACTAGGGGCGGTCCACACCGTGCAACATCAACTGCACCTTCGACATCCTTTGACTCCACTCACCTTCGTTCGTCACGGCCACGTGCGGTCCACCCCGTCGACGTGAGTCAAAGCCTCCGCGCCTTGTCGACGTCGATGCGTCCAAAGTGGATCCGGGACCACTTCCACTCACGCGCCAGCTGTTCGAACTTCGCGGAGATGTCGATGTTCAGCCGGCCCTTGGGCGAGTAGAAGAGCACGTAGACATAGTCGTTGTCCTGCGGCGCGGCGTGGCACGGATGGCGCTGCCACATCCAGCCATAAAGATGTACTTGGCTTTGGTACTACCAAACACGAAGGAACGAAAACCTCAAAAGCATCGAAAGACTTCCATCAACCCATGACCCTCACCAGGCCGCTGCTTTTTTGTGTTTTACATCTCTTCGCATGACCCTCTTCGAGCCTGGATAAAGTCATCCAAGTCGTGACAACAGCTACACGCCTGGCCACCGACAGGTGTCGCACCGGTCGCACGTAGGTACCCGGTGTTCCGTGGTTTTCCCACAGAGTGAGTCCCTTACCAGTGAAGTGAGACCAGTGACATGTTTGTCTTTTTCCCGTGCAGAAGTTCAAACAGGTAGTTCTCATGTTCGACCCACAGGCCATCAATGCAATCCTAAGGTGTCCTACAGTCCTATTGTCAAAGGAGGTTGTCCTGATGTACTGCAAAAATGTTCAGTCACACACGCCTCCCCAAATGCGAGCCCACTTTTGCGAGAAGCGTGAAGTTGGTAGCTGGACCCATCAGTCCACATGTCTGGTGGCTACTGCAACGCAAGCTTAGTTCAAGTCTAATGAACATGTGGGCGAATATGACCTTCTTGCCTGGACCGATTTTGTTGGTCAGTGATTTGCCCTTCCTTTTGCGTCATCAAATGAACTTGCCAGGCTGGGTTAACTGGACTCTGTCACGAGGCGAGGCTGGATAATCCATATATGTCAGATGTAGAGACAAAGCCTTGGATGAGGATCAATGACCGAGGATTCTCGATCGAAATTGTGAAAGACTCGGGTTTTTCTCTTGGCAAATGGGCACAAACACAGAAAAACTGGGAAGACCTCCTAGCGCCTCAAAAATACACCGGTACTGGGAAAGACTCGATCCGAGTATGTTAAATCGATGGTTTGCCCGTTTGCCCTTCCCTGGAGCTCCCCATGCACGAACCAAGCTGAGACCGGGCCTCCGCAGTAAATTGCAAAATCGGCTCGTCACCCAAACGCTCCTGCAAGGACCACTGGCCGTTGAGTGGTGAATGATGGTGAATGGATGTGAATGGCATCAGGTTTTTGGGCGTTTTGCGTGGAGTCTGACATGTTCTGCGGATTTGTGTAAAGAGACCTCCTGGTATAGGCAGTGCCTTAGAAATTCAGGACACGTCCCCAAATCTGGCAAAAGCCCTTACAAAGGTCTCTCATGATATCCAATCACTAGAGTCTCCAGCAAAGGCAGGGGATTCACTGCCATGTGCATCAATTATAATCAATTATGTATCTATTTGGGGTTCACAACAAGCACAATGGGTTCAGTCTGAGCCAATGACTCTGCCAACACCCCCATTATTGATCTTGCATCTTAGGTCACAGACTCTTCACTTCCCCATCCCTGGCAGGTCGTCTCTCCTGGCAGGGCTCCGCCGCAACAGGCGCAGTCCACAGCACCAGGAAGCACCAGAAGCACCACATGGCGATGTGATCCACAACGAAGCACCACACAGGGCGGGAGCATGAAGGGTCTCAGAATCAGCTCTGACGAATGAGTTCACGAGCTCGTGTCAAGCTGGCTGAGGTGTTCCTGAATGTCAAGCACTCATGTCTACGAAAAGTGCTTGGTCTTGGTAATCAGAATTCCCCCGAGCTTTCCCTGCGCCGTGCCAAAGAGATCATGGGGGAGGCATGGCGAACCTTTAAAGAAATCACTTAGCCTTCATGACTTGCAAAGAGAAACATCCAGATTCAAAGCAAATACTCTGGAACCTTCATTCAGATCGGTGGACGTCCGAGATCCATGTAGTAGGGCAGTAGTAAGTAAGGGCAGTCCAGTAGATCCATCGGTGCCCTTTGGCTGGATTGTTCTCATGTTGCTATCCATTTCAGTGAAACCATGCTGGCATGTGGCTATGGGATTCAGAGATTCAATGTCTGAGTTAAGACGTGCGATCATGCGATGATTGGTTGGACTACTAAGTCCATTCGTCTCTCAACTCTTGGGGTCTTCTTGGACCCCAACGTTTTTGGACGTATTGTGCAACTGTTTTCCAGAGAAATAGAACAAGGAATCCACTCAAAAATTGAAAATCATGGAGCAAGTTCCTGCATGTCCGTGCTCGTTTGCCCTCAGCTGGAGATTTGCAAGCGATCAATGATCTCATGCTTGATCTGGCAATGGCTGTCACGTGACCCATGCGCACAAAACGCTTGAAACATCTGGACTGTCTTGAACCCATGAAGCTTCTCAGCTTCTCCCAAACCTTCCATGGCAGCCGAACATCGCCTCCGCGCTTCGCGGCGGGTCGCCGGCGCGCGACCGACGCGCGACGCGCGCCGAGCCCAGGGGAGACCACCACCAGGCCGAAAACCTGGGCGCGCCGATGGCGCTCGGTGGCGGTCCGCAGGTCGGTCGGTCGCGAGACCGCGACGGTGCGAGGTATAGAGTCGTAGAGGACGTGGATGACTAGAAGTTCATTGATGGTTCGAGTTCATTGGACTTGTGGACTTCTAGATTCGTCAGTGAAGTGTTCCTCTTAGGATTGCAAGACACGCGACAAAATCACTAATTTGTCTGTGTCAAACGTGAACGTATTGGAGAACACACCACAGGAACTGTCTTTTGCCCCGGCCACAGACGCGAGTTGCTAACTCAAAGAGACCTGCGACATCCTCTTTGGGTTTTGGGGGTCCAGAAAGGCCACCAGTTCGGCGCTGTCTTGCGATGTTTCACCTTGGTGGTCTTTGGAGGGTGGTTGTTCCATGTATGGTTAGGGCTACCCTAGGAATGAATCCTGCATTTGTCGTGATTTCGTTTTTCGCGGCCTTGAGCCTTCAGTGCCCCATTCTCTCGCCGCTCCGCCCATTGGGCCGGATGTCGTGGGTTTGGCAGGCGGATCGTCACCGCAAACGGGAACACGCGGTGACCCCACTGGTGGACCTGACTCCCAGTTTGGTCAGCCCTCCTTTTTCGGACTGCCAAGGAGCGCCACGCTTCCAAGCATGATGGCTGGAACCAAGGTCAAGGGCAGGGCCAAAAATTTCAAGGCCACGACCTGCGGAGTCTGCGCATGGCCCAAGCCGGCAAAGCCCGCTTGAGAGAGTCAAAGTATGGGGTATGGGCGTGTGATGCCACACGATATGGTTCAAGAAACATCATTCATTTATCAATGTGTTCTCTTTGTAAAAGGAAAACCAAACTGTGGGTCTGTGGGTCCCAAATGATCTGAAATTGTTCGATGACCTTACTGAAACCCAACACGGAAATTCTGGGTCGTGTGAAACGGCGACATGGGTCACAGTGAAGATTCCGTCAGCGCTCGAGCAATCTTATAGAAAAACACTGGGATAATATGGGATGATTATGATAATATAACACACACCTTTGGACCCTTGGACTCTCCTATATGTAATATACAACCTCCGCATCAGCCCCAGCACACATTTTTTGCATCGTTGAATCGCATGCAACAGCCGCCTTGTTGGCCAAGACGTCGGGGCGTCTCAGCTGGTAGTTGATGTCAGCATACCTGCGCTTTCACAAAACATCACAAATAATCCCGCATGCGTTGAAAAAAATAGCGCACAGCACTGCCGCTGCCGCCGCTGCTACTGCTGTTCCTATCATTCCTCCTCCTCCTTCTACTACTACTACTACCACCACCACCACTACCACTATAGCGATCAAGTTACCATGTTGCTGCCCCTGTACTATGTGCTGACTATGTGGATACAGTTTAAGTGGTTACTAAACACTGAGGGCAAGGAGATGCTAAGTATTTAGCTCCAAAAATCTAACCACTTAGCTGTAAGGAATCTTTTTCTACTGAATCATTCCCCAGATAGCGAAGCTTAACTTCAAATAATAATGAGTTGCCCGTGCGCGCTTTCAAGACAGGTTGCTGGTGCTGGCTGCCGGTGCCGGCGCCGGCGCTGTGAGCTGGCTGTGCACGTGGTGGAGACAGGTTGCTGGTGCCGGTGCTGGTGCTGGGTGCCGGGTGTTGCTGCCGGTGCTGCTGGCTGTGCACGTGGTGCTGGTGCTGGTGCCGGGTGCCGGTGCTGGTGCTGGGTGCCGGGTGCCGGTGCTGGTGCTGTGAGCTGGCTGGGCACGTGGTGGAGACAGGTTGCTGGTGCTGGTGCGGGGTGCCGGTGCTGGTGCTGGGTGCCTGGGCGCCGGTGCTGGTGCTGTGAGCTGGCTGTGCACGTGGGTTGCTGGTGCTGGTGCCGGGTGCCGGTGCTGGTGCTGGGTGCCGGGCGCCGGCGCTGGTGCTTTGAGCTGGCTGTGCACGTGGCGGAGACAGGTTGCTGGTGCTGGTGCCGGGTGCTGGTGCTGGTGCTGGTGCCGGGCGCCGGTGCGGGTGTGCTGGGTGGTGGGGACCACCACCACCACCACTACTACTCCTGCTGCTGCTGCTACTATTACTACTACGGCTACCACTATGACTACGACTACGACTACCACCACCACCACCAC